TGAAACATGATAAGTTGCCAAAAATATGAGATAAAGGCTTGTGAATGTTGAGTCCACCTAGTTACATTTAGCTTGTAATGACATTACAGTACATCTGCTTGTGTACAGCAGAATATATAATACACTATAATAATCGAACATTATTAATAAAATATGACATAATGTTAGTTGATAAGAGAAGCATATCATTTTACAACATGCAATTTATATGTTTCTCTTATCCACAACAAGTGCAAGGGTAGACAAATTCAACACTCTTGAGGCCTGTCATTGAAAACATAGTTGACGCTTTGTAACAAAGAGGTATGGAACTGATCACGATGTGTGAGTGAACTGAACCTCAGCGACAAGCCTAACGAGTTCCCCAGGTCCACAGAATGGGTGTTCGTCCTGTTTTCAGAGAGAGGGCTGGAATTCCTGAGCAAATCTCTACAGCAGTGATCGGTTTGAAAATGGAGCGCCAGCTTTGAAACGATGGGAGATGGGGGTTACTCTGTACGCACCTCCCTGTAGGAGAAACTAATGCAAACCATCTGCTGTCATACCGACTTGCAGTTCAGCATCTGGCAGAGAAGCAACCAGCGAGCGGTGCTGGTGTCTGCTGCTCCAGACAGTCAGGATGGCAATCAGACTATTTGTCTCTCTTCTACTTTTCAGATACTCTCACAAAGACAAGACAAAAAATACAATAGGTTTTTAGTTATTTCACATCTTAGAAGCCATTTCTGAAACGTCCTATGGTTTACTTTATTTGTACATGTCAAGTTTCATCCCTCAACATTGTTATATACATACATTAATCTTGGCTGGATTTCATGTTCCCTCAAAAGAAGAAAACAACTTTGACTATTCATTCACTTAAGGCCTACTTCTAAGATAACAAAAGTGAACGTGATAATGCCACAAAAGCAGATTTAAAGCAGGAATATATTATATCCTGGCAAAAGCTCAATGATGTTGACTTTATACTATACAGATTGTGTCCTTTTGTTTTGTCTATAAACAACCCGACCTACGGGTTCAATCCATCACGTTGGATAGCAGCTAACAGGTTTTAGTCCAACCTGTTTGAAGGGGCATTGTTTGTGTGTGAATAAAGCAACCGGTTTGAAGCTAAATGATGCACAACATTTACTTTCCAGAGACAAAATACTCTTAACTCGACAGACGTTTGCTCATCCTCTAAGCATATGTTTATACTCGTGAAGGCTAACATCAACTACGTAAAAGTGGATTTCATGGGGGAACACCTATAAATAAAAGAGATATCTCCAATAACAAAGAATAATGAGCAGTCATTATCAACGTAGAAGAATGTTAAAATCAGCATCCCAGCTGTAATATAATGTCCAAAAGCCAAAGTGGGAATTATGCTACAGAAGACTGTGGCGTGAGGAATTTTTGCCAAAACACAATGACAAGGCCACACTAACTCCTCCATAACTTGGCTCTAGGCGTGTCTGCTGCAGGGATGGCATTCAGTAACCAGGAAAAACCTGTCTCTATGCAGTGCACACACAGATAACAATGCTGGAAACAATACACACTCCACCTGACACATGCTCCCTGAAGGCATCTTCTTCCAAGACAAACCAGTTTTATAGAAAATGCTGCACCTATAATGCATCCAAGTAATGTTAAATGACATTCCATCTGGGTGTCACTCAGAAAATGTCAACAGCACTGGGTCAGGGCTGTCTAATTGCTTTCTCTGAAGTGTAGACCGTAAAAAGTCTACGACTGTCAGGATCAAGAGTCAGTGACAGGTGACTTTTAATGGTTGTGGGATTATGATAAATATGGGCAGAATAATATCAACAAATGTCATATTGTTAGCTTTTTCTCACATCAATAGGCAATCTGTCAGGTTAAGTAACATAAACTGGAGTTGAGTATAATTGTAAATGTGGTTAATAGAAAAAGTATGAAGAGATAACCATAACACATTTAAAATCACATCACGTTGTTTGTTTTGGGGGATTTATTAGATAAATATATCGAGTATATATGTTTTTTTACAGCTCTAGAGGATCCAACTTTTATTAAGCATGTGGATTATATTGGCTGTACTAAGTAAATAGTATCATAATATCTGAGGCAGTGTAAATATAACTCACCATCCTTTGACTTTAACCCAACAGTCTTCTCCGTCGTATACCCTGCGATCCAGTGTTTGTGCGAACCTCAGTCAAGTCCACACTGTTCAAACAAAAACTGTAGTTGTTAAAAGCTAACGCCAGTGGACGAAATCCAATTTTACAGAGGATATTTTTCCCGATAAAGTCCAGAAAGCATGGATGCATGGATCCTCAGCGGTGTCCTCAGTCCATTGTACGGACAGACCTGAGCCCTACACTGACAGCAGCAGCAGTATCACACTCAGAGCTGGATGGTAATTTACGGAGAGCAGTGCCCTCAAAACTCGGCTCTAAAACATAACACAGGAAACGCAGCCAGGAGGTCCAATCAAAGGGCGCTGCACGCGGAATACGTTTACATATTCATTAGGCGCTGGGAGAGGAACGACTGGGCATGCGCAGCTTTGGGACTTCGAAACAACAGACTGAAACACAATAAACCTAGACACTCTTTTGACATACCGTCTACTGTCAGCTTCAATACATTAATGTAGGAAACACTGTAAAATTGACAGTGGTGTAACTTTGTACTCAAGTACTGTACTTAAGTACAATTGTGAGGGACTTGTACTTTACTAGAGTATTTTCATTTGTTGCTACTTCTACCCCACTACAATTCAGAGGTAAATAGTGTACTTTTACTCCACTACATGTAGGCTATTTAATATCTTTAGTTACTTTGCACATTTGGATTAATACAACTTAATTAAGACTTTAGTTACATCTGGAGTACAATTCACAAGATATAATCAATCAATATTAATGATCAAAACACATTTATTCTGAAACATAACAGAAGAGTACATTCTGGTACTTTTACTTTTACTTAAGAACAATATCTGAGTACTCTATGAATGAGTACTACATTCATAGATTTTTATACCAAAATGTATTGCACATTAAATAAATGTTAAACAAAAATAAATTGTAAACTTCAAAATGAAACTTAAATGTTGCCAATTATGTCTCAAAGCTATGTCTCAAATTCCATGCAATATACATTATTAATACAAGGTCTGAAAGAACAATATACGAGTACATTTTCCTTTTTACATGCAGCATGTGGAATAATCTTCGTATCTTCACTCAGGATCCCAGGGACATCACTGGTATAATACCTTGTGGAAGTCCTTTACAGTGCTTTATGACTTTAAATGAAGAATTATCTATTTATTGAAAAAAATGTGAACAGTAGAATAATTGAGTTCAACTTCCCCCTCAGGCCAATGCAACTCACAGGCCTTTCTCTTTTGAAGTGCTTGGGTGGCACTAATGTCCACTTCTCACAACCAGTCTCCAGACTGAGGCTCGCCTTGCAATGATGTTGGGCGGTGGGGCGACTCTCTGGGTGTAACCTGTCTAACAGGCTACCTCTGTGCAGTAGGCACACTGTCTGTGTGTGTGTGTGTGTGTGTGTGTGTGTGTGTGTGTGTGTGTGTGTGTGTGTGTGTGTGTGTGTGTGTGTGTGTGTGTGTGTGTGTGTGTGTGTGTGTGTGTGTGTGTGTGTGTCATATCCATAGACTGTATATGGTCATATCTAAGTCTTATTCTAAATATACCTTTACTTTTACATCTAAGATAAATATTAAGACTATATAATATAGCCCGTTGGGAACCTACTCACTACATCATGAAGGCTCACTTGTATTAAATATGACTGCCCAGCAGGTTGTCTCCTGAACTTGTATTGACAGACGGTAAAACATGTGTAGTTAGACGAGGAAACAAACAGCTGTTATAATGTATATGATTAATAGATAAACAAGGAATGCTTCATAGAGCTTTGGTGATGCCAAATGTGCAGTGGTTTGTCACCACCAAGTGGAAGTTTTCAGCCTGACAGAAAATATAAAATGATTTGAAAATCTTGGCCAGTTTTTATTTTTTATGTTTTAATACTGTCTTGAAGGTATTCAATATTGGACATCATCAGTTTCGTTAGTTGCATTCATTCATCCTGCCACGTTTATTCATTTTCACAATTATCTCAGAAGATTGATGACATAGATCTGTGATAACAGCTTGGCCTCTCTATTTTTAGTGAATAAGGAAAAATATTAACTATGCTCTTTTCTCTCTATACCATAATCTTCATGAAAAATGTAAACTCTTAAAATATTTTGCATTGCTTTTGAGTAGTTATAAATGCATTTTAGGTTGAGTTTAAATGTACTCGCAATATATTTGAAATAGAACAATTGAGATTAGGTTAAGGACACTGCAGTGTGTGAGGCAATAATGAATAGTTCATTTGAGTCTGTTTATTAGCATTTGTCTGTCCGTAATGAAACAATATTGCCACCTAGTGCATATAATCTACCAATGTATTTCTCTTCAAAGAAGAACTTAAAACATCCTGTTTTCAATGATGGGCTGATATTTTTTTTTAACTTGAATATAAGCATAATATAAAAACTTTTTTAAAATCTTGGTTATTTTTGTATATCACATGTTCTAAAATATGGGTTGGGTTGGGTTTCAATATGTATATTTCCAGTGGTTTGTGTCTGACTTATATACAAATTATAACTTTAATGATCCTGTTATTAAAAGTTTACATATTTTTGTACATAAAATAACTGTAAAGAAAAAACTGACCGAATTACGCACTTAAGCCGCTAACTCTGGCAATGTCTCATGGGAGTTGTAGTCCATGTGTGTACTTGATCAAGGTAAACTAACACTAATTAATATTTTTTTATATCTCATATGAAGAAGTTATCAATATTGTATATAATGTACAGTAGTGTATATTAATTTAGCTAAGAATGTGTGCAGAGTACCTCAAGTTTGACAGTATCGGTACGAAAAGTAGAGCTGAGCAGCGGAGCCCGGAAGTAGGGCAGGTCCTCTTTATAAACATGGCCGTTAAGTCCTTACAGCATCAGGTTCTGCGTTTGGCTGTATCAGTTAGACATTCAGGAAGTCCCTGAGGGTAGCTAGTGCAGTAACAGGTGGAAAGAAAATGTAGACACTCGACCGAGGCATATGCATTATTTTTCCGTTGTTTTATATCTGCGTGGGAACAACATTTATAAACTTCATAAAGTACTTTATGCTAGCTAGCTAGCGAAGCTAACGCCGACGTCTCAACGTTAACTCCTGTCAACTTTTCCCAGCTACATAATCTGCTCACTGACAGTTTATCGACATGGAGGAGTGCCGTCGTTCGCCTGGCTCGTCTCGATGAATATTTTACACACGGAGGTGTCGGATTTACTCAGCTGACTAAACTTTATTGAAGGCTCCTTTTGGGTTGTTGTTTTTTTCCACTGGCAACAGCCAACTGCTGAGGGCGGACATAAACAATGTTTTCTGTCAAACCCATGAAACCAACCTTCAAGAGTTATCTTCCTCCTGTTCAGGTATGTCTTTTTTGCTTCAGAGTGATAACAGCAAAGTTAACTTTTGTGCATCGTACCGAGACAGTGTCAAATTAAAGTTTGAATTAATTTAGGCTTAGGTTTTCGTGACTGTGGTGTGTCTGCGGAAGGAAAGTTGATATTTAACGTGTGGTCTTGATTAGAAGAAGAGATAGCAATCTGTATGCAGCCTCACTTGCTGCTGTGTTGTTTACAAGGGAAGGAGAAGTACTCAGAACTGGTACCAAAGTAAAAGTAGAACTGCAAGAGTGTAGGAATACTTTGTTACAAGTATAGGTCCTGCATTGTAAATGTTACTTAAGTAAAAGTACAAAAGTATCGGCATCAAAATAAATACTCATTATGCAAATTGGGCTATTTCAGAATAATATAAATGATATGTTTTGATTATAATTATTGATGCATTAATGTGTTTTAACAAAGCTGGTAAAAGTGCAGATAGTTTCAATTACTCTGTATGCTGAAGGGTAGCTTATGAATGTTACTCCAGGTGTAACTAAAGTCCTATTTAAGTGTTGAATATAATGTAAATCATCTTTCCAGATGTGTAAAGTAACCAAAGGTATTTATTAAATGTAGTGGAGTAAAAGTAGACAATTTACCTCTGAATTGTAGTGGGGTAGAAGCACTAAGTAGCAACACATGTAAATACTCAAGTAAAGTACAAGTATCTCAACAATGACAGTACTTGAGTAAATGTACTTAGTTAGTTTACACCACTGGTTGTTTAGAATCAACAAACACTAAAAACACATTTTAATTGTTAGTTTGAGACATTGCAAAACAAGCAAAGGTTTGCACCTACTTCTTTTTAATTTGGAGAATTGAAACTTTATTGAGGAATCTGATACCGGTATGGAGAACAGGTTCCAAACAGAATGTGGCACCAGTGTGTGAGAAATGGGCTGTCACTGGCCTTGTATTGCCCACATGTGTATGCGCTTCTCCACACAGAAAGTCAAAGCTTTGCTCACAGATACTGGGCCAAACTCCCAAGCATAACCAGTGTTTGGCCTGGCATGGTCAACAGTTGGGAAGGGTTTGGAATTAAGGTTTTGAAAAACATAAACTATTTTTAAAGAAGAAATGTGTCAATATATGTATTCTAGTATCAAATAATCCTTCTGTTATGCTCTTGTGTTGTTAATCAATTACAAATGGCTAACTGTAAATAAAAAATATATACAGATTACGTTTATTTGTGTCCAAATAAATCTAGGATTTAATGCACAAGAAACATTATAGTGATTGTACGTTTATGATAAATAATACTTATTCACTAAATCAAGATTCAGTTTAAATTAGTGGCCTACACTATCTTACCGGATGTTTTTGTTTTTGTTACATTCCAACACTTTCCTATGAAACAAAATATGCTTTGACCATTTCATTGTTGCTTTTTCATGTAAAGGCCTAGTTTCTGACTTTGTTTTGGCTGTGTAGTGTGTACAGCACATTACATTGTAAATAAAACAATCATTTTAAGTGTGATCAAACACAACTAATGTACTGTGTATAAACTGTAACCTTTTCTATACATAATCCTAAAAATGTAAAAACTACTATCATCCTATATTCTTCCACCCTTAACACTTTCAAAGCTGAAAGTCAGCACTTTAAACTCAGTCATCATTCACTGTTAATCAGTGTGCTTGAGTCGAGCCAACAATGAAAAACACACGAGTGTGTGTATCTGCAGATCTGAGCAGTATTTGGGGATACAGTATTAATAGCATGAGTTGACGTGTCTTTGGTTCCTTCTAGTTTAGTTAACAGATTGCAACAGCATGGTGTAACTGTTTATGCAACGTTAATTCAACAAAACCAATCATAACAGCTGTCAGGTTGTTCAACGTGCATCCATTGTCAACTTAAATCCTAGGCATGTTGCTTGAGAATATTTTTTATCTAACTTGCATGTCATTTTTACTTTTTTATCCAGACTGATGTGAAGAAAACTTTTGAACCACCTATTAAAAAGCTGGAGCCAAAGTTACTTCAAGGTAAGTTTATTTTGCCATTATCGTAAGTGGAGTCGGCTTTACCAAAGGGTTACGTATTCTCACGATACACCCTCCCATGAGGATTTAGAAACATCCTGCCAGTTATATTTGCACAGGCGGCGGTTTAGTGCCCTTTGCAGCACAGTTTATGTGTGGCGTTTCCCACCTCTCTGTTGTAAGAGGTTACCGTTTTACAGAACACTTTAAAACTCTTATCATAAAAGTGGATTTAGAAAAAGGAGTTAAGCAATACACATTTTTCCCCTATGACATCAAGGTCCTAAGTGAGCCTAGTGAATTAACAGGAGCAGCAGGACATTCTTCATTTCAGTGTTTTTTTCTGGTCCCAGCTGTTGATTTGGGAGCTCCATGGGAGAGGCTCAACACACCCTTAGCATAGTGTTACTTTGTGTGTTGTTTAGAGTGAATATACAGTGATGTCATCTATAAAAGTAAGAGAACATAAGCTGTATGTCAGTTTTACATATTATAAAGGTTTCGTCATGGCCACTCCTTAGAAAATCCTCATTTGCAAACCTGCCATACTTGTATTTTGTTTCCGTTGCGGTCGACATGAATAACATTATAAAGCACCTGCTAAATGGTTGTTAAAAAAGCATTTCCATTCAATCCTATGTAGCTTTTACCATTCAAGGGGTGTCTCTCCTTTCGCATCTTGATTTTGGAGCCAGACACAGGAACAGTTTTCATGATCAGCTGATTTGTTTTTAACTTACTGTGTGTGTGCTACATGCTACTTTGAGACAGTCCTTTGATGTGACTGCAGGACTCCACCCTGCTGCCTCTGCTCTCAAGCTTTGAACATCCCTGGGGCAACTTTTTACAACAGCATTAACTGTTTTGTGGTCATGTTAAGATATAAGAGTATTTATTTGAAAATATATGCCTAAAGCGTAAGTCAATTCTATGATATGACTTGCATGTTGATGTCCAACTTATCATCACATCAACGTTGTTTTGCAACATATCCTTACACGACCCATATTACTTTTACAGAATGAAAAAAAAGTGCGTTTTATAATCAATTTCACCATCTCAAACGGATGGATGACAAGAATTAACTTGTTTTTAAATAGAATAAATATGTAATATAATTGTTGTATGTATTGATGCTCTACTACTTGGTTAAATGTACAAATGAGCAACAGAAAAGATGAGGGTAGAAAGATGAAGATGGACGATACCAGTGGGGTTGGGTTATATTTTACGAATTACAAGCAGGATAATAAATAACTAAAACGGTAATAAATGTGTCTGAGCAATTTAATAAATGATCGCACATACAACATTTTAGCCTGGTAACAGGTTGAATTTATGTTCAGCAAGTCTTATTTATCGACATGTCATTTATGGGGTTAACTCACTTAATATACTCTACTCTCCCTTGAACTCTGTAGTTGAACACTTCAGATTTTACACTGACTTTTTATCTCATGTGCTTGTCACCAGGGGAGATTGTAGTTAATGAGGTGAACTTTGTGAGGAAATGCATCAGCGCTGAGAGCAGCCAGGACGACCTTTGGGGGAAGTTGATCTGCACCAACTTCAAGGTCTCCTTCATCCCTCAAGATGCCTCTTCCAAACAGGTATTTGTGTGCTTTTTTGAATATTTTCTCTTTCTTAGTACACTTATAAGGTTTAATGTGTTGTCATTATGTGTCAAAAACACCTTTTGTAGTTTCCTCTTACATTGCTTAAAATTGTCAAAATTGCCTTATGCTTTAAACAAAGACTTGGCTTCCATTGGCTACAGTTTTAGCTTTACATTTGTTGAATGTATTACTGCCCCAGCCTACTGCAGAATAGCTTTAAAATGTGTACAGCCATGTTTGCTTGCTTGTGCAGCTGGCAAAGAGGAAGGAAGACTCGTGTACTTTCCTGCACTGCATTGTCAGTGATATCGCACGAGAAGTGAGACAGGCGTCATACCCAGCTATGCGGAAGATTGTTTACATGAAAACAAGTCTCAGTCTTAAGGGGATCTACTCAATCTACCCACCAGTATTTCAGATAATGTTTCAGCGTGTTATGGGTGTCATTAATATAACTTCTACCTGTCACTTTTTCCCGTTGTTTTCCACAGAAGTCCCAGCTGTCCCACCTCCTGCTTGGAGATCACGACATACCCCTCACCTGTCTGGAGCAAGTAGTAACAGGTACGTCTGGTGTCACATCACATTTCTGGCCAACATTATCTTTTTTTGCAAGTTTGTTATTGTATAATTGTCTATTATAATTTAGTTTAATCACTTGACAATATACCCCAAACTATTGGTTTCCAAATGATATACACGACATAAAAGAAAGCTAGTCTTAGCATTTGAAACTGTATTAAGCAGATTAAAACTTGTACTCAGCCGACTGCTTTAAAAGGAACACTTAGCATCTTAAAAAAGTGATTTTACAAGAGTGATCTACAATCAGAAATAAAGTCAGATTGCTCCCTTATCAATATTTGCTTGGTGGACTGATCTCGTTTGTTGCTCTTTCCTGCTCAGTGATCTGATAACAAGTGATGTCACAGCTCAGGCAGTGTTTAGTGACAGCGCAGCAGGGCGGGGATTAGCCGTGTTTATGTATCACATTGCATCGATTGCTGACACTGCAAGGGCAACTGCCCAGAGCGCGCTTTGTTGTGTTACAGTGGTGAGGCACGAGGCTACGAACTGCTACTGAAGACACTATTATCATTGTGGAATTTGCACAAGTATGGGAGCATAAAGAATAAGATAAGGCCCTAATGCTGGGCAATACAAATATAATCAAACATGAATATGTTTTGCTGATGCTTTCACACAATATCTTATTACACCAGGGTCAGGTGGTATGGTATCCCTGCCAAAATCCCAAATGTTATGTAGCTTCATATTGAAATGAATGAATGTCAAGTGTAATCCACAATGGCATATCTTTAGTTCAAGTTCATTGCTATCTGTTCTGCAATAGTGCATCACTTTTCCTGTAATTTGATGTATTGATGATTTAGGATGAACATTAAATATTTGGTCGAGCTCATCCAAGCTTCTAATGTTTTTTTCTATAATTTGTTGCCAAGCTATTATTTTGCATCTCTAATCATTGGGCTCTGCATCAGAGGAAGTTGCATTCATCTGTTATTTGTTTGTTCCTGTCAGTTAATGATACAAAAGGGAAGAAGAAAGTGTTGGGGTCAAACCAGAAGCTGAAGTTTAACCCGACGGAGCTCATCCTCTACTGCAAAGACCTGCGCATCATAAGGTTCTGCTTTGGCGAGGCTGGGCCTGAGGGGGCCAAAAAGGTGAGTCATGGGCCCACTGGATTTAGTTTACATCACATCCACTCATTTAAAGGTGTTTTTTGAGAGAGGCTTTAAAAAGATCAGATTGATGTTTGCCAGACTATGTCATATCCAATGTGTCCTCATTGGTAGCATCAAATGCATTTTGCCATCCCACTTCCCCATGTATCGACCCAGGGACAATGAGATGAATAGACTGAGCTCAACACGGGTGGCATAGTTTTCACCACAGCTGGCTCATTGTTTAAAGAAATACGTGCCACCATTTTGAAGAATGCATTCAGATTACGCATATTGTCTTTAACATTCTAATGCCATACCTCCAAGTGACTAATTGCTCAGTATTAATCATCCGTTCTCCTTTTCTCTGTGTCCCTTATCCATTCACTGTTGCTGACCAAACTTTTCCTTTCCTGACTCTGAGCTCAATACAAACACACACTCACTACATGGCCACTTCCTCAGCGACAAAGATATTTATATCTTTGAAACTTTAATGTGCCACTCTCTCACTCCCTCCATCTATATAGAAACAATTCACTTCTCTAAATGCATTTCAGTGTGGCCATTAGCCCAGCAATGAGTAAGAGACATTGAGAACAATGCAAGGAAACTGAGAATGATCCTGATTGTTGGAACGACTGGCAGCGTGACTCTGACTCATCTCCTGCACAGAGAGTAGATGGACAGATGATTCAATCTTCACACCAGTTTAGAGATCTGTTTTATATAAATGCCAGGATATATTGATATGTTTGGATGTTTAGGGGATGGATAGTGTGGTAGTTAGTTAGTTGCACACATTATAAATGAAAGGAAGTCCTTGTAATGCAGATACAGAGACCAACCATGTCGAGGCTTTACCTTTTTTAATCCAGCTAAAATAATTTACCATCACAGAAATTGGTGAAAGTGCCTTAAAGGCCAAGAAAACATGCATTTCCTTAGTTTCATCAGTCAGTTGTTTTGTGAGTTGAGCTGTTGTGGTAACCAGCAGCAATGCAGGCTTTACTGACCTCTTAGACGAGAGAAAATGTAAGTTGTTTAGTCATGTTTTATAATGGACATACAGCTAATATTACATTTTTCTGTGAAAATAAAAAAAAGTTTGTATTCAAGTTCAGAAACAAGAATCAGCCCAAAAAAATCAATCGTTGCAAATACATTTAAACTAAGAAGGTTTCAACAACCTTCCAGACCCTAGGAACATGTGATCTCTCACCAAGGTATCACCAACAAACTCCAGACATAGCCAAAAGTAAGAAAACAAACATTCTTTATTTGGTTTATCTGGAGTTGTAAGTGTTCTGTAAATAAATGTGTATTTGTTAATTATGTACACAAATGTCTCCAGGAGCTCTTGGCTTCCCCCAGCCTCACTACACGGCCCCTGAGAGTCAGGCAGCTGAATATCTCTCGACAGTGTGCCAGTGAAAAGGGCATGAGTGTGAATGTACATAGTTACATGTCTGATCTCCTCCCATGTCATCTGGGAGCAATCTTTGTGTAGGTATTAGAGGACTTGGAACGCCATAGCAAATACCTGCAGCACATTTGGCTAACAGTATGCATCAAACAGTTTTATGACCAGCAGTGTTACGAGTCCCTTTTTAATTTATTTCAAAATACAGCAGGCTCTTTATTTTATTGACTCTGCTGCTTACATCCTAATCTGCAGGGATGATTATGAATAGAGCTCTGAAAATAGAAATTGAGTCTGCCCTCCCTCACTTCTTGTGGGTGTATTTATGGACACCATGTATGTAATAACAGTGTGAACCTAAAACGAGACTCAGTTATTTTTTTCTTTTTCTTGGTGACATATGGAATTAACCCAACCTATAATAGCTTATTTTGCCATAGGAAATTACAGAGCAGCCTTGACTACACACACACACACACGCACACGCACACGCACACGCACAGACACACACACACACACTTTTTTTGTGTCCTCATGTTATTCACAGCTTTACTCCTGAATGGCAGGCATTGTGTGACTCCAGTGGAGCCACAGTGAGCTTCAGCCTGTTAACCCAGGGCCGTAGGCTGAGCGTTAAACATTTTATTTCCCAGATTTCACTCGATTTCTTTTTGTATGGCTAAAAAATATTCCTCACTTTTAGAACCCCGAGTGTTTCTGAGATTGGAAGCTGAAACCTAATGTTTAATTGATTCCTCCATTCATATTTAATCATATTGTTTTGTAATGTGCATGTCCAATACTTATTTTTCTCCCTTTTATTCCAGGTTTGCCTTGCTATTGCCCACTATTCCCACCCAGCTGATCTTCAACTGCTGTTTGGTTTTGAGTACCAAGGGCGGCGCTATCATGAATCTAAAGGTAGGCATATAGAGTAACATGTCGAATTTCTTTTATTGTGTCTTTAAAGGTCCCCTATTATACTGTTTTTCATCAATATATTATAGGTCTCAGATATTTACAAAACATGTCTCTGAAGTGTTTGGCTCGAAATTCCAAACAGATCATGTATTAGGCGCTTTCACACCGGAGTACTTTTCCCAGGAATAGTTCCGATAGTTCCTGGGATTTTGCGTTCACACCAAAAAGATCTGGAACTAGAACTTTTTTGCGCAAACCTTTTCACCCCTTTGTAGTCCCTGCTAGAGAGCAGGGACTTTCCTGGGGAGAAAAAGGTTCCAATTTCTGATTGGCTGGGCGAATTGCAAACCACGCCCCGTAAAACTCTGAAAGGTTTTTGTGAAGCCGCCATTTTATTTGCTCGCATTAGCATTAGCATTAGCCCAGCGCACCAACGGAGAGAGACTAACTTATGGCAACACAAAATAAAACATGGGAGCGGTGGAGTGATGAGGAGGTGTCGGCGCTTCTGGCAATTTACTCGGAAGGCTTCTACTGAAGCCAGTCCCCGACTCCGGGGACGTCCGGCCGGGGACTTCGGGTGGCAGTATACGCCGTGAAGTTGTTTGCGGCCTGCCAGTAAACCCAAAGCAGAAGAAGAAGAAGTGACGTCACCGTCTCCCTCAGGGACTTATTCCGGTGTGAACGCGATTTACTAGATAGTTCCAGGAAATAAAAGTTCCGGGAACTATTCCTGGGAAAAGTACTTGTTATTGTAGCATCCCATAACCCCCTCTGTTTCAGCCCTGTTTCAAAAGTGCTGATTCTCTGTCTGTTACTTTAGATGAAAATAAGGAGCCACTCCCCACGCCCCTCTGAGAGATATTTGGTTAAAAAGAACACAATGGTGCTCTAGGAGGAGATTCAGGTGATAAGGTGTTACTTTGGTTGGTGATTGGCTAATGGTTACACAAGCCAAAAAATTGTTATGACATCATAAAGTGGCCAAAATCTGATCAGCTCATTTTCAGACAGGTTTTTATATAAATGGATCAGGACAAAAAGTGAATCTTTTTTCCTGAAACTTTCAGAATCTCTTTACACAGAGGGGACACATGTTTATGTATACAAGACAGGAAAAAGATTTTGGATAATAGGTGACCTTTAAGACATACCAAGTTATTTTTGTACTGTTATCTTTGTACATTCATGTATGTGTATTTCCAGGGGAGCGAGTCAATGGTTCCACCCCACGAGAAGGATTAAGGACCCCCATATTTGACCGCCCGTCGGACCTGGATCGGGAGATCAAGAGAACAGGAGCATCAGAGTGGAGAGTGTGCTCCATCAACGAGGGCTTTGCCATCTCACAAAGGTTTTCAGCTTGTGTTGTTTGATGTTTGCAATTCACCAGCAGTATAGGCAGAGCATGTCTGTAGTTCCCTCACTTGGCCTTAGCTGTTGAATGCACTAAATGTCCCCTCTACTCATACCTAGTATGTTTTGGCAAGACAGTATATTTACACTGTAGGCTTTTTTTCCTTGCTTCATACGAGACTCAAGAAAAAAAAACGGAATGTCTCAGTGTAACATGCAGGTCTGCTTTTAACAATACATGCTATTCATCTGAGTTCAGTGGTGACATCATGGTGGGTTTCAAGTAAGGATTGTACTGTGTTGCATAATGGTAGTTTGCAAAAAGCAGTACACATAACATAGGGCTAAAAACAATACTCACACGGTTTAAGTATATGAGGGGAAACTGAATAATATAAATGTTGGGACAGGCCCAGCAAACCCACTGTTAAATGGTTAGTAACAATACAATCATGGCTTTTACTACCTTAAATATGATGGTATGTCAGCAAGAGGCAAACACTTTAACTTATTTGTATGTCTTTCTAACAATATGATTGAAAATACTGAAATTGTTTTATTTAATGGTGCCTTGGTCTTTGATTCCTGTATAACAAACCTCTTTCTCTCACTCTTCCTTTTAGTCTCCCAGAGTACATTGTGGTCCCGGTCTCTCTGGCAGACGAGGATCTAAAGAAGTATTCCGTATTCTTCACTGACCAGCGCATCCCTGTGAGTTTTCTGATACCTGCATTAACACTGTGCCGCAGAACTTTTCATTTAGCTCATGGATGTATAATAAGAACTGGATACAGCGTCGGAGGCGGGGTCTCGTTCTTTCCTATGAGAGCTGCTCATTGGCGCATGAAGGCAAAAATGGCCCTCTGTAGCTCGTTGTCTACCTTGCTATGATTGTAAAGTAATGTTGTTTGTATTTTTACAACGTTATGTTCATGAGTTATTGATCCGCGAAATTCGAATCTGTCAATAACTCAGCTCAGAGTATGCTTTGCGACGTGCATGTCCCCTCGCTCTGAGTGTTCTCTTGAGGTGTCTTTCACTTGCCTATTGCCAAGCACTGATGTTATATCTTTATATTTTTAGGCCAAGCTCAAAGTAAAAATCGATGAACCGCTCCATTGTTGTGGTTTCTGTGTTGCCGAACTGACCCGGAAGTACATTGAGCTAAATGAAAAGTATTGCGAGATCTCGCAAAACATATATATATATATTAGGGCTGTGCAATTAATCATATTTTAATCGCAATTACGATTTTGGCCTGCCACAATTACGAAAACAACATAATCGAAAAAAACAATTATTTTGCTTTGCTAGGTTGTGACAGTGCATTATATTTGATCAGTGCAACATATTTGATCTAATTTATTTGTATTTATCATATTTATATATGTTTAGTAACAAAAATATTTGTTGATCTTGTTTATTGGTATTTATTATTTTGATATTATTTATTTAAATGTATCATTTATTTTATTTATTTTTGTATTGGTTTTCCAGTTGAATTATACGTTCAGGGTAATCAACAGTTAAAAAGACACTGTTCAAATTATTATTTGTATTTGTTTTAATACATCCATTCAATAAATGGATGTTTTCAAAGTCAATGAATAATCGTATTTAATAATCGTGATATCAATTATTGACCAAAATAATCGTAATTATGATTTTTGCCATAATCGCACAGCCCCAATATATATATATATATATATATATATATATATATATATATATATATATATATATATATATATTTTTTTTTTCAAACTAATTTTCTTTTCTTCTCCACGTCCCCTAGGGGGCTCCGTAGGTTGCCGAGCTTTGCTTAGTAAAACTTAATTTAACTCTATTTATTATTAGGCTTATAATGTAATTGTAACGGCACATATAGGAACACTAATAGACTAATTTATAATAACTATCTGTCGTACACCAGTTGAATAAACTGTAGCATCCCTTTTATTTGCCGATTAATTTCTGTCCTTTCTTCCTTGTAGCTCTGGTGCTGGAATCATCCAAATGGAAGTGCTCTGATCCGCATGGCCGTCATAAGTGATCCATTGCAGCAGAGGAGGATCGATCAGAAGTACACAACTCCTTTACTTTATTCAGATTCAAAATGTCTATTAAATGTGTTGTTTCTTCTCTCTTACACACTGGAATCCAAAAACAGTCATAAAATGTTGAACTGCACTAGTGAAAAAAATGTATTGAGTTTCATCTCCTTTTGATAAAAGTCTTAACGGGTATTATTTGCTACAGGTATTTTGTAATGACGCTGAATATGCTGAAGTTCTATATACATATATCGATGATGATGGTGTATTGCAGAGATGTTGCCATTGCTGTTTTAAGACCTCTCGTGTTTTGTGGTAGGGTCTTCACTGCCATCACAAAAAGCCACCCACAGCGCAGTGAAGTCCTCAGGTCAGATCTGGACAAGTGTCTGCCCAACATCCAGGACATCCAGAGTGGTTTTGTTAAAGTCAGGCAGATCTGCGTCATAGGTGAGCCGAATCACAGTCAATCTGCAACTCCATATACCTGTGTATACGTGTGAAATACATCAAAATGTACCTTTTTTCAAATGGAAATGGGATGATTTCTTCTCATACTTGTGTATAGTTTTGTAGATGTTTTTAAGTGTTCGTCTGTTTTGATTGTGTGCAGATCATTTTGAGGAGTCAGACGAGAGGTGGTTCTCATCTATTGAAAACTCAAGATGGCTGGAGTATGTGAGGTACGTACAAAATAGTCTTTATAAACTTTATTAAAAATTGAAATATTATGCTGGTGTGATGTTTGTTTTAACTTTATAATTCCATCTGGAACATAACAGCCCTTCACAAACAATTTGTATTGACAGTATAAGTTAAGATTAATGTGCACATCCTTTTTTCAGTTATCCAACTAATGTAATTATGCTGTATCATTGGAAATACATTGCATGTTAAAATGAATGGACATTTATCTCCTGTTTGTGACTGCAGGGCTTTCCTGAAGCACTCAGCAGAGATAGTGTACCAGCTGGATGGAAAGAATGCTTCAGTCATTCTTCAAGGTAAACTTAGCAACCGCATATTCTCTTTACTTTATTGCATGATGGTGAACTTCACTTTAGATTGTCCTGATCCATCGATTGTGATATTGTAGCAACGTGACTTTGAACATTTCAATTTCATCCAACAGCAGGTGTAAAACTCTTTTAATCTGTATTTGTTCTCCCTGTACAGAGGAGGAGGACAGAGACCTGAACTGTGTGGTGTCCTCCCTGGTGCAGCTCATGTTGGACCCTCACTATCGCAGCCTCGTTGGCTTTCAAAGTTTGGTGCAGAAGGAGTGGGTGATGGCTGGCCATCGCTTCTTGGACAGATGCAACCACTTAAAGAAGAATGACAAAGAGGAGGTATTTGTCAGACAGTTTAAAACCAACTCCGATCTAATAGAAATGCCAAGATACTAACGCTTCCTGTATGTTTTTTCTCCCACTCTCTCTCTCTCCAGTCCCCACTGTTCTTGCTGTTCCTGGACTGCGTGTCGCAGATGATAAGCCAGTACCCGGCAGCGTTCGAGTTCACAGAGTCCTATCTGACTGTCCTGAGTGACAGCATGTGGATCCCACTCTTCAGTACTTTCCTCTTCAACTCTTCCAAACAGCAAGCTAAGCACTTGATGGTAAGAGACACAAGATTCAAGGCTTTTATTGTCATTCGTATATAGCTACAGTGTAGTTATGTCGATGGAAATCTTAGGACACACGCACATATCATTGTAAAATGTATTTATTTTATTAGTTTAATACATATTTTTCTACATGGTATTACAGTAGTAAACAATGTTGTGCACCAAATGCAACGGATTCCACCATGATCCTAAATGATGTTGAAATGAGAACATGATTCTTCAAAAATGGTTGTTGCTTAATAAAAAAATGTGTACATAACCAATGCACAAACCTCTGATTTGTGCTTGTTTAAAGGTGTTGTATTAGATGTCTGAATGTCCAAATTCAGTGGTCCAAGACCAATGAAAGCACTTGTCATAATTCCAAGTGACAGTGTGTAACAAAGCAACATGTTTTTGTGGTTTACTTTCTCATGTCAAAGACTGAAATGTCCTTCTGCATGTGTCAGATAATTGACTGGAAAGAGTGCAACGTATTGCATACAGATAAGAACACATTTAGCTTGTGGTCAGAAAAATACTGTTGACACTTCCAGATTATAAATAACCTTGTGTTTACTGGACAGGACTTTGCCAAGAATAAAGCCATCCCTCACGGAGAAGACCAGGTCGTGTACTTCCCTCCTGTTTGGGACTGGTCGCAGCAGTTCTCCCCCAAAGACCAAACCCTCTTCAACAACCCCATGTACGTCGGCAAAGGAGCGGCCTGCGTTCAGAATGGAGAAGTGAAGACCTTCAGACGCACAAAGGTACACAACACATTGAGTTTACGGTTTTATAGCAGCAGTAGCAGCACATGGTTTTAGATGCCGTCTTTTACTACCTTCGATACGCAACACTCAAATTACAATGTGGACTTTCAACCTCAGTTTAGTTGTTTGCAGCCATGTTGAAAACAAGTTGTAAGGTGGTTTAACGGCAAGGACTTTTTAAAAGTCTACACCCAAGTTTTAAACTTTTGTTATTCGGTAAAAACTTGAAATCACAATTTTATTTACTTTTTTACTGTTTGAAGTAGGAACATTTTTATCCTAATTTTCAATGTTTAAGCTTTATTTTTATTCTGCAGGTTGGGTATCTAGAGTGTAAATACATTGTTATGTAGTTATGTTACAGAGCTATGTAGTTCACATAGCTCTAGTTGATTCCCACTAAACGAGTGTGTCCTTCCTCCAACAGAAGGCGTACAGCCACACGCTGCGAGGGATGCCTGCGTCTCTGCGCAATGGGACGAAGGTCGGGGAGGACACGTTGACCCGGCGGGGCTCCCTGGTGTCGGAGCTGAGGTCTGATTTCTACCCCGCTAAAGACGAAAGCCCGTCGGAGCGCTTCTTCAGAGACTGGTTCTCTCGCCCCACGGACCAGCAGGGCCTCCTCATCCCGCTGCTCGTGCCCTCGCACCTCGCTCTCTGGAAGCTCTACTTCCTGCGCTGGGTTCCTGAAGCCTGCATCCCCAAAGGAGGCCCCGTCACCGCCTACCGCAAGCTCTCCCAACTGGTCGACGAAATTGAGATTCTGCAGAACCGGCTCAGGCAGTATAAAGGACGTGGTCCCGGCAACGGGCCACTCCCCAGCCCAAGTGGGCCCCTCTCAGACCAAAGGAGGATGTATTTTAAGGCCAGTTCCCCACATGACCCCCCTTCACCTTCTGACGTCCTTACCTCCTCCTTCCCCTTCTCTCCAACGGGTAACCTGTGTCGCGGCGGTAGCCATGGGACCCCCATTAGCAAATTCCTGAACGGGGCGAGGATCTGGCTCTCTACGGAGACTCTGAACGACACTGTCTGAAGAGAGGGGGGGGCTTATAGGCTCGCTTTTCTGAGCTCAGTACAGGTTTGTGTAACAACAAACCCCGTCTTATTTTCTTTTTCCTCTTTCTTTAATACCAAGAAGGAAAATGGAAAAAATAAACTTTGGATTTCTGATATATTAAATATTTATAAGCTAGCAGTAGCACGATGCTGCATTGAAATCTGAGGTCCTTTCTAACCTGAAGCGCCCTCTATAGGACTGAATCCTTAATTACCATTACAGCAGAGGAATTGAGATGATCTAAAAGCACATCCTCCTTATTGGCCAAGGAGTTGTTGTTGTGAGGTCTCCTGACTGCGAAAGATTGTATTACAAATTGTTTTAATAGAATAATTTTTTTGATCTACTTGCGGTCTTTCTCGAGATTAGTTGGATGACTGCTCTTTTCTGTTGAGCGTCCTGTACGACCCGAATAAAGAGCGCTTTTGGAGATGTTTATATTGAGTTGAGAGCCTTTACCTTTTGACACATTTTCATTGGTCAATACGACATCCCCACTGTTATGGAAATGAGAAATGTTATCCACATATAAATGCTTTGAATTAGAAAATGCCCGTTTTTTTACTGCAGCATTAATGATGCATTTCACTGAACACTGATTTCCAAGTTATCCATTTGTTTGTACCTTCCAGGAAAAGTAATATCATAATTGACATAGTTTTTATTTAGAAAGAGGAACAGAAAATAACACTGCTTCTACATATTGTTATATGTGTTAAAAACAAAGAGGATCTGTCATGGCTGAATGTAATGGGGCGTTTTTCGTTTTTTCTTTGCACAAGCTTAATGCTATTTGCTCCAAGTGCCCATACATTAATGGTTATATTGAAAGTCTCAATCTGTGCAGCAAATAGTGTGATTTCAGAGTTTGGCTTTGTAGATTTACGCTATTTTTGAAGCAGAGAAAAGGGCCTATGCTTTCAGTATCATAAAGCAGGTGATATTCAGAGGGCAACGTGGAGATGTGAGGACTTCAATCTGTGGTAGATATTTCCTCTTCTCTTTCTTAAGGGGTTTTATTCAACTTTTATACAGGCCTTCTGGTAAGGCTCTAATTATAAGAAGAAAAAACTGTTCATAATAACAGGGTACATATTTTAAGCAAAAGGACAGACAAGGGCTTTGATTCAAACCAGTCTCTAGTTTAGATGGCACTGATCCAATTAACCAGACAGTAATGGGTTGATGACGAGTGACAAGAACATATCAGCATTAAGCACCTGGATAGCAATGTGTGATATTTTGTCCACAATGACTTCAGTTCACACAGGTTGTTAAGGGAAAGGCTTAGCATACTGTATGTAGCTTTAACAATATTCACGTTGAATCACATGTGTTCTTGTTTTTTTGCCAGATAATGCTTCTCTGGTTATAGGAATAATGTAACAAAGTACAAGTAGTGATTCTGTACTTTCAGTCAGGGTAGTGATGGCAAGGTTAGTGAGTTAAGATGTTCACAGGTTTAAATTAGGAAATCTGAGACAATTTCGAGCAAGCTAAAGTTCAAGTGCTCTGCAAAGACTTTAATTTGGAGATCCTTTCAAAGTGTCTGCTGAACTAGAGAGGGGTTTGAGATGTGTCAGGGGAAATGGATCAGTCATCCAGATCCCATTTAAACTAGGGAGGAATTAGCGCTGTGTAATATGTAATTTCTTAAAATGACAGTACAGCATTTAATATATATATTAATACCACTGGACAGTCTCAACATCTGTCCTCCAACACAGGAGCATCCACCCTTAGACGCTAGATTGACCAGTTTCCAATAATATTCAGCTAAACGCGTTTCTATAGCAATAACTAACTAGTTCAGGTGTTTTTTTTTAATAAAGAAGTGTGTATAGAAGTCAACCTGTTCTCCCAAATGCTATTAATTGCACATTTAACTCAAGATATAGGATAGTTTGTTTGAAGGTGGTTGTTGAATATCATTTTTGCAGATATTATAAATACTGTATATGGTTGAAATCTCCCAATTAATATCTTTGATTAATGGTACTAGATTACTTTTATCTTAGATTCAGTCTTTTTGTTTTCTGGAGAGATATTGATATGATATGTTCTTCCACCACTTCACCATGTTGCACTCTGCTGTAATTGCATGATGACTGTGCTCCCACAGTTTGATATTGAAGAGCAGCAGATGTATTTATTTAGATATGCAGATGCTCTCTAAGAGGGATGCAAGGGCTACTGTACATCCCCCTGTGCCTTGTTGGAAAGATTGACCATTTTTGTAACTAAATTCTAAATATATTGACTTATTTTAGTTTTTCTAAAACTGTTGAGTTATCAATTCTGTAAATCTATAGTAAATTCACTGGTAATGCACTGAAGCTGTTTTTCCTGACCAAGAATAGGGCTTGAATGTGTACCAGTAACCAATCATTACAATATTTTTCAAATAAACTTGTGTCCTGGCTTTTATTTCACTGGATTCTGACTCAATAATGCGATGCTTTCTCTATTAAAGCTTGGGAGGGCTCTGAAAAAAAAAAAGAGCAACCTTTTGTGTCTGTAATAATGAGTCTACCTTCCTTTCTCCTTGCATACACTCATCATCTGTGATGACTTAATTGAATGAGCTGTTGAGTTAAATTAAAATTATAATTCTAAATAGAGAACATCTTTCAGGCACTACTGGGATCACTTAAACCAACACAACACCACTGTCGCAATCTACTCTCATAATTCATATTTATTTATATTTCAGGATGTCTTCTACATCTTGTTTAATTCTATCCATTATTTTTATTTGGATTGACAAAGAGGAACTCAACACCGGAAAAAAATGGTGTGGTTAAGGTTATTGAGATTGTTATTTAGAAGTATCCTTAAACACGTACAATCTACTTGAAGCATTTCCATACAGTATTGAGTATGTCAGGTAGATGTGTCTATGGAAGTTGTTGGTTTGAGGCACTGCTGGGATTTTAACCCGGGATCTCCTGTTTAAGGCACTTTGACCAACTAAGCCACAGCGTCAACATTAATTGTTGTATCTCTTATATGATAAACCTAAGATACACCTGCTCCCCCTACTGTACAAAATCACAATAAGGGAAATACATTATAATTCGGTTAGAAATACATTCTTTCCATCTATCCATCTATCTATCTGTCTGTCTGTCTATCTGTCAATCTGTTTATCTATCTTGAAAAAAAAAAACAGGAAATTGAATCAATTTGGTGACGTCATTGGTGAGCGCCTATGCTGGCCTTCGAAATGGGCTCGACTCCTTAGCCTTGATTTCTTCAATTGTCCCTCCGCATATCAACTTTTTATAAAGAAAAGCCTGTTCGCGATGACATTTGGAGGTACGTGCAAACAACGACTCAAAGCAGAGCCATATTTTATAGGCATTTCTGCCCATTGCCATGTTAGTTATGAAGACTGAAGGCAGTTAATGTAGCTTGTTGTAGCTGTGTTAGCCGTGGAGCTAACTAGCCGGAACCTCTGGGCTGGTGCCCAGAGATACATTACAGAGATAGCTTAACTGTCTCATATACCATTATTTATCATTTGAACTCACTTATACGTTTAGTGTTCGTGTATAACATGTCATTCTGTCACTTTCCTGTGTTTATGCTAAAATGACGACTCGAATGTGCTAGCTAACTTTAGCCAAGTCAGCCACTGTGCTAGCTAACGGTAAACATGGTTACTCTAAAGGGAAGTGAAGCGGCAACTGGAAGAAAACTCTTGACATTTATAAAGCAAAGGTTTCCTATACAGTGCTGTTCAGGGTTTTGTTGCAGTAAAAAGTTTTACTGAGTATTCTGGACAATGTGTTTAATGAAACCAGGAACAGACTCGAGTCTGAATCATAGACAAACATAGAGCTGTTCGAAGTTACATTTAGCATAAATAAGAACACTTGCTTCTTGGTATTACTTCCAATGACAAAATGTAATGTTATTATCCACATTATCTGCTTAATGAGCGCAGGAATGTACACCTGTCATGAAAAGGACAACAGAAAACAGTTGATCAAATTTTCGTTAGTTTTTTTACGATAGAATATAATTATATAATTACTGTAAAACTAAGAGGTAATCGCTGAGATGTTGCTTGTGCTATATTTTCTGGTGTACTTATTTTTTTGTGATTTAACGGGATGGACGTCCTGCAGCTTATGCTGAACAATATCTTAGCATCATACATTACATTACAAAAGAGAGGTACTTTTTGCCATTTCACATTTCTGATGTTGGGAAAGCCCACGGTGTTTGAACCTCCGGTGGGTGAGTCATTTAGGCTCATGCTCTCCACCCAAGCTTTGCTCAAACTTGCAAAACTTAAAATGAAACCCTAGTCAAGATGCCAAATGTTTCTGGATTAGCTATATTTTGATTGCTGGATTGAGAGTAAACTATACTTTACACATCTAGAAATAGTCCACTAGATAGAGTGATACAGCAGAAAACTGTTGGATTGTTTGACATATTGAAAAATCATTATATTATTCAAACTTGTATTCATTCTCAAAGAAGAGTTGGTTTAACAGACACATACTATTTATGATACTATCACTGTAGAATAAGATAAGATGTGTGAATTTGGGGCTGGAATCACAGGTCTCATGGATGATTCATATTATACAATGATAATAAGATCCTGTTTTTTTTTGCTTTTTGTTCCAGGTGAATTGGTAGACAAGGTCAGCCAGTTGATTTCAACACTGGTTCCTGTGCAGGCTGACTGGCTTGCAACTCTCACTTCCTGTGCAGTACAATAAAGCTACTTGCTTGGTCAGAGGATTGCGATGAAACACGCTCAGGAACGCAACCAGGAGTGCCTGCCTCCTAAGAAAAGGGACCTCCTGGTTAGTAACAGCAGTGGAGGTGGAGGGGCAGGAGGAGCCGGGGCTGCAGGGGGGGGCAGCAGCGGAGGTGGCAGTAGAGCTGGTGGAGGTGGTGTTGGAGAAGATGATTTGGTTTCCATCCAGAACTCTGCAGCCAACAGTGACACTCAGGGAGGATCACCGTCGGGAGAGTGGCTGCGAGCTCAGCCAGGGCTTCATTATGGGATGGAGAATTCTGAAGGCGTGCCAGTTGACCAGTACAGTATGCTGTACAAAGTGGCTCTTCCCTCTGTCACCTACGCGCCTACCAGTCTTCACCCAGTGCTAAGCCATATCTCTCAAGCCTACACTGTACACTCCCCTCTCCTGCAGCATCCAGGCCTTTCCTACCCTCCCCTTGGTTATGCCCAGATTCCGCATTCCTCTCTCCAGTTTGTCAGTTCCCCTTATGCAGCCGTACCTTACGCTCTACCCCCTGGCTTTGTCCCGGGATCATTAATCTCTCCCTCAGGCACCATTCCTCAGTCCCATGCTGTCTCCCACCTTGTTCCCTACCCCTCTGTCTTACCAGAAGGTGTTGTTTCCCCACCTCCTCAGGCCCAGGTAGCCACTCATACCTTTGCCAAAGTTTCAGCATCAGAGCAATCTGCCCAGCAGCACCTTGGTGCTGTGGGAGTTCTGCCTGCATCAGAGCTCGGCTCTCGAGGGATGCCACTCTTCTATCACCCTCAGGGCGCCAGGGCGGCCACCAGAGACTCCCACAGTGCCCAGCAGGACAATGAGCCAGAGATGAATGGAGGCGATAAAGAGCAGGGAGCGAGGGAAGTCGTACTGGACTCTGCGTACACTGCCAGAAATGCACGTCTGCTGCAGGTAGCATCCAACTCTGCAGCCCAGGAGTACAGCCAGGACAGAGGAGGGCTGAACCGACGGCTGGAGGAGAGGGGCTCACCTGGCCAGCGCAGCAGCCCAGACAGCGACCTGGAGGTAAGACACACTGATAGTCTCCTCATGAGACACATGATTCCTTGTCAATCTCTTTTCCTAACTTTTAGCAGTAGATGGGAGAAATATTTTTTTTATCTAGAGACTTTTACATGGGAGGAGATTAAGAATAACCTGATTAACAAGGTTTTTCCTTTTCCCTGCTCCTTTCTGATTGGTCTGTTTATAATATTGTTACATGTTGCAGCTCGTAGTTCTTAAATAATTATTGAATATTCTAGAGTATGTTTCTTAACTGTATCTCAGTATTTGAATGACTCAAGTCGTACATGTTAATATTAGACTCGCTTCCTTCCTTAATTTTGTGCTGTGGTTCCGGAGATCATTTGGTAACCGCTCACACACAATTGCCACTTGGTGCCTAAGCTTTGTTCATTATGGTTACATGGAGGTGTACAGTAAATAAATACCAAATAATGGCCATTGCAAGCAGCTGCAGATTCTTATGATCTTAGGACATAAAAAAAAACAAGAAAAGGTATGGCAGAATAATCGTACCTTTTTCATTTTAAGCTAAAAAAAAAGGTTTGAAGAATGAGATGAATAAAATGTATTTCTACCTTTTAGGTGCAATAAGATGCTGTGATTCAGGATGCTACTGTGGGATCATATTTGGATGTGTTGGGAAATGTGTAATTTAAAATGTTGTTTCAACAGAATCAAGTGACACATATTCCTCTTATCTACTTCCAGGTTCAGCAGGTGGTTGGCCGTTTGGCTTTCTCTAGTCAAGTGCGGAAAGAGGTGTCCTTTGCTCCTTTAAACCTCTCTCAGAGAGCCAGAGATCTCCATGGAGAGAACACAGGCATGATTTCAGGTCGGACTGCGTTCCCCACTCACACTGCGAGTTACAGTGATCCCAGGATGGCCGCTCTCCAGCAGCAAGCAGGACCACCCGGCCACGCTGTGGTGCTGGCCAATGGGCAACCAGTTTTGATTCCCTTAGAGTATCACCTGCAGCACCACCCCCAACCCCCCCAGCAGCAACACTACCATATACAGTCTAACAACGCCTCAGTCGCCATGTCCTCCCCTAACCCAGGCTTTAAAGCCTCGGATTCTTCAGCCAGAGTGTGCCTCCTTGAAAGGGTGGAGCCGACTCCAGCCCAGCAGCAGCCCCCCCAGCAGCCCCCTGTCCAGCCGGCAGCGGATCAGGCCTTAGCTTTGAGCCACGCTCCTGCCTCGGCTCCCAGCAACCCGTCTCACTTCATGAAGGGAGCCATCATCCAGCTTGCTACTGGAGAGCTGAAGCGCGTGGAGGACCTGCAGACTCAGGACTTTGTGCGCAGCGCCGAGGTGAGCGGGGGGCTTAAGATCGACTCCAGCATGGTGGTGGACATCCGTGCCAGCCAGCAGAAACCAGGTCTGGTTTCGCTTCACTTCACTGTGGGGGAGCAGCAGAGCAAAGTGACCATCGACGTGCCCCCGGAGCACCCCTTCTTCGTGTTCGGGCAGGGCTGGTCGTCCTGCAGCCCCGAGCGCACGGCGCAGCTCTACGACCTGGCCTGCCACCCCCTGCAGGTGGGGGACGTGTGTGTGTCCATCACTCTGCAGCAGCAGCCTCAGCCTCAGCAGCAGAAACAACCACAGCACCATAACTCACAACAGCAACAACAACAACAACAACAGCAGCAGAACATGTCCAGGACTTTAAGCAAAACCAATGCTTCATCAGGGCCTGGTCACCAGCTCATGGGGCCCCCTGCCCCTCAACAGTCCCGGCCTCCATCTCATTTCAGGCCGGACCGCATCCACAGAGAAAGACAGAGGGACGGTGAGAAGGAGGCGGTCGATAAGGAGGAAGCCACGCATTACGGGGCCGCTGGGCTCTCCGAGTCCCCCATAAGACCAAGTAGGACCTCAGCAGAGCACCCCAGGAGCCACAGCAGTTACCACCTGCACACAGAGGGCTCTGCTTTTGCAGGGGCCGGGCTGGGAGCAATGCAGGCTGCACTAGGTGCTTCTCAGAGACGCTGGTCCTCACCTGGCCTCCAAAGATATGGTATGAAGGGAGACGAAGGGCCACGCCCTCAAATAAGCACCTCTGGACACACGAGGCCCTCTTTCATCCCCCAGGAGGTCAAACTGTCTATTGAGGGGCGCTCTAATGCAGGGAAGTAGCATCACTTTTGGTAGCACGTGAAAGAGTCTGACAAGGAGAGAAAGAGGAAAAAAAGAAAAAAGTGCGAATGTAGCCTCAGATTGTTTGAGATTTTGCACACCTAGATTATACAAAAATACAAGATCTTTGTCTATCTGGTGAGGAGTTCTGGTTTGTTCGGTCGTCACTCAGCCAAAGGACACGAGCCTGTGGTTTCCCAGCCAGCTCAGGTCTGACAGGGAGCTGACGAGCTGAGTAGAAAGTATGTAGCGGATCCAATGCCCACCATAGTCCTCGCACACTGCATTCCTCTTCCTCCCTTCCTCCCTCCCTCCTTTGTCGCCACTTCCTCATTCCCATGCTTGAGGTTACCATCACATTCAGAGCACTCTTGTTTCCTCTTTGGAAGACCAAGGACTACGAAGAATGTGTTAGTAGCAGAGTGAAGCTACACCTCGGCAGGTTCTGATGTTTTTTAAAGATCCCAGCCAGCGATCTTTCATCTCCTCCATTCCTAAGATCCTGTTTTCTTCAGAAGCATTTACCCAAAAAACGAGTGCAGTTGCTGACGCAGCGGCTCCTGCAGTGCTGTTGGCACTGTTGATGCTAACTGTCAGGTTATGTTACATTATGCTTTTCTGGCAGGAGATAAAAAAAACCTCTGCTGTCAGCAGAGATAGTCTCTCCCCTCCTTCCTTTTCAGGAGGCGAGTCTGCAAAGAATGAGATCCTCTCTCAGGCGAAGTGTGGCACGTCCCACTTGTCTTACAATCGAAATAGTGATAAATCAATCAATGTGTCTGTTCAGCAATCAGTTTCTACTAAAAAAAAAAAAAATGAGCTCATGCCCCCCTCGGGTATAATCTATGTTTGTGAATGTGTTTGCATAAAAGCCAGAAATTGGAACAATGCTTTGTTCTCTATGATAAGTAGAGATATCCTGCATTCCAGTATCATCAGTGAGAATATCCATAGTGTTGTCCTTAGAAGAATCACTTCCTCAGCAGTGTCAGCACCCCCCCCCCCCCCCCCCCCCCCCCCCCCCCCCCCCCCCCTCCTCTCTATACCTCAAAGCTCTCTCCACCAAAAGCAAATGTGTGTTTTTCAGAGGAGGCACTGGCTGGTCCTCACCAAAGCCACCTGTGAGAGAGAAACCCTGCATGCGAGTGGGTCAGCGACCAGGTTTTTGTCTTTGCTCCGTTACCAAATGAAAGCAATATTTGTTTTACAGCACCCGGCCGTACGGCTCCCCCTCAGGGAGTCTGTCATCGTGGGCTGTTTTTATATCCAAGGTGTCAGATCTGACCCTTTTTTGAACCCTGACCTTTAAAGGTGATGCACTATTTTTGGTGTTCCTTCAGTAATTCTACACAAGCAATTATGCATGACCAATTTCTCAAGAACTCCTTGTAGAAGCTTCTCTTTGATTCTCCATCTCACTGATGATATTTTTATCTCAAGTGCATCTCCAAGTTGTGATCATTATCTTCTGTCCTCCCGTCTTGTGTTTAACAAACACGGTCCTTTGCTTTTGTACTAGGGTATATTGTATCCAGTGGATCTTATGATTGTCTTGGATGATGTCACTCATTGATTTCACACTGACCTTGTTGATAGGAGTCACAGTTCAGTAGGTGTTTGTCATTAATGAAGGGAATATGTTTGAAGTATTGTTGCCGGTGTTTTGTGGTGAGAGAGCGCCAAAAGAAACTGACTTGCTTTTTTTTAACGCTGTTTACAAATTAGCCAAGATGGATGCTGCAGTTTCCTCCTCCTGACAGATGTTCATCCTTTTGTCACTGGAAAATCCAAAAGGGTGAAATTGAATATAAGTGCAATTAGACCACACATTAAATCATTCAGAGGTTTATAATCAGACAGCATTCCTCACGCAGACATTCCCATTGAAAAGTAAATCACACAGTTCCCTTTTTCCTGTCGTAGAGCTTTAACCTCTGGGAAAACATCGTGTCACTTCTCACGCGTTATATTTCTTGGTTGTCAGTTCTGTGTGGTTTTTTTTCTGTCCATCAGCCTCATACAAAAGTGTTGTCTGTCTGTCCTCTCCAACTCTCTCATGTTCTCCTCACCTCTCGTGGTTCTCCGAGTTAACCGCCTGACCCTCTGTCAGCAGAGGGGGGGGGGGGGGGGGGGGGGGGGGGGGGGTCCACAGAGGCAGAGGCAGAGACACATCAACTGGGAGACCCTTCCTCTGTGTGTTGTCTTTATACGCAGCTTTAAAGGACAGGTTCACATGTTTTAAGTATCTTCAAACTCTTCTGACATGCCCTATAGATGTAGATTGCCCTGTTAGACATAAATCACTTGAAACATGATAAATGGCTCATATAGATAGTGTTATATAACGTGCTCTATTATTTTTAGGCAGTCCTCACTGTTGCGACCTGATTGTGTATTTGCAAGAGTCTGGTAATAAGATGCATATCATGATAGAGGCGTTACACTTTCAATGTGTCGCTATATTGAACCAGGCCAAGTATTGGGATTTCTAATATATCATTTTAGGAAAACTATCGTATAACGATATGCATTCAGCTAAGTAAGCATCATAACAGTGGGATCTGTATTTGTATATTATTGTAATACTCAAGTATCAATATTTTCTAACCGTCTCTATTGTATTAATCTAGGCTTGAAAAATGTGAACCTTTCCTTTTTTAAAATGCTCAGCAACGGGGTCGAAGTCAAGAACACGTCTAACCATCCGAGGCTCATCACATCTGGTTCCTGCTGTAAGCAATATACATAAAACCTGCAAGCATTTCACTCAGTCGTGGCGTCTTCTATGCAGTAAACTCAGTATTGTACGCTTTATTGTCTTAAGTTCAACTCTGTGAAGCAGTAGGGCAGATGCAGTCATTTTAGTCTAATGTCTGGTTATAGAATGTTGCTTTTAATTACCTTTTTGTAATACAAACCAGTATTTTGTTTTGCTAGTTTCTTTTTTTTCTCGGTAGTCCCAATATTCCTATATTCCAGGAAGCTTTTACTGTCGGAGAAAAAGCACTCTGTGTCACTCATTTTCTTGTGTTCTTTAAGCATTCATTTTGCCCCAATTGCTACACCACTTCAACATTTAGTTAATCACAATGCATTTGTTGGGGTTTAAATAGTGTGACTCACTGCAGACCCTCACTGCAGACCCTCCTGTTCTGCCTCGAGCCTTTTGTGTTTTTTTTTTTGGCAGTGTCAGCCACGTTAAGCAGAAAAGCTTCTTCTCCCAAGATGTCCGATTAAATCGTATTCACATCACTGATCGTCTGTTGCTGTGAGTAATTGCACTAAACGCCCTCCTTTTACAGTGTTTTCAACTTCTAACTGTTGGTAAATTGAAGAGTTTGAAAATGAAAAGCACACAAAATCACAGAGAAATTGCAGGTTGTGTGTGTTTCTGTAGATAGCTGTTTTGTTTGTTGTATAGATAGCTTTGATGATGCTTGTCGATAATGCCTTAAACTCTGCTTTGTACAATGTGTGAAATCGAAATAATGGAATAAGGCTTCTGGTAAACGTGCTGTTCCATTTTGAGACTAAGAGCAAATCAGAAATGTCTCGCTCTGACACTTTCACGCTTCGGAGCACAAATCCATATCTCTCAAAGAGTGACGGTTTATTCCTTTTGAGCCCAAGACAGTTCTTCTATGAAACCTGCAACTTTGTGTTAGCGTGCCGTTTTTCTTCTTCTTTATAAATTCCTTTACATTTTTAATACACTCTTTTACTTGCCTTTCATTCCTGTTGTGTGTAAATGGAAGCTCTTCTCTGCACTTTTTACAAGGTGTTTACAAGTGTCAGCAAAGAAGGGCAGTCCATTATTTCCAAACACACGCTAATGTTGTTTTTATGGTTGCACAAGTTCAGTAGTTTTTTTTTACCCTTTTTGAATTAATGGATAGTGTTTGATGTCTTGTGCTTTCCCCCCCCCTCCCCCAGTCTCTGGACAACAGACTCTAGGTTTTTAGTAATAGGATAAGACAGATAGCGCTCCATCGGTGGTGATGTCATGGTTTATCAAGTCTTGTGACGCTGGCAGTGGGGATCGTAACTCCTCTTGTGAACTACTTCCTGTTTGATCCAGCATTTAATGCAAAAGTGAATCTAGGAAGATGTAGGTGTCTGATGTCCAGTTAAATGGGGAAAAACAAGAACGGTTCAAAGTTTTAGAGAAGTGTATTTTCAGATTTATTTTTGGCACAAGGCTTTTTAAGTGACGTGCAACTATCAAAAAACAGCATCTTTTTATTTTTAAAAATGCCTAAATCTGCAAAATATATGCAATGATGTAAATGTAACATTCAATCCTCAAGTATAATCCAGGTTGTTAAACTTTGTATAGTGAGTTTTAATATCGTATGGCCGTACCAATATGTATTGATCTTTATCAGAAGCCTTAGAGTTGTCGACCGAAAGTGCTCCCTTAGAATACCCTACACCTACCTGACTTTAACAAAGCATTAATATCTCTATTTTGTTTCATTTCTGTTTGTACGGTTTTTGAATAAAATAGATTTGTACTGTATATTTGTACCTCTCTGTGAACTACTTAGGGCGGTTTTGTTTTTGTTTTGCTGTTTTAATTCTATGTACTTTAAGGACACAAAGATATTGTATTTTTATTGTTACAGCTAACTTGGAGACATTGCATTTACCATGTTTGTTAAGTAAACACAATATAATATATATATATATACAAATATAAATATAAACTATTATCCAACCTGTGTGCTGTGTTTCTTTGGTTGCATTTGTGTGTTTTGTACTTCTCTTTATAAAACCATGATAATGCTGCAGATGGTTATGGGGGAATTCATTTAGCTTCTTAATACGGGGTTAGGGAGTTTAAATTAGATTTGAATGTCAAAACTTGATCTTTACAGTATCAAGTACAGCTGGCAAATGCATTTAATGTATAGTAACTTGAGTCTTATAAGCAACTCAATGTAATACAAATCTAACCACTACTTTATTTTAAATGCCACCAAGTATATAGCATTGAAATATGAAAATTATATTTATTTATGTGGTTTAAATTTTGATCTGCAATGTACAGATCATTTTAAGTGGTGGGATTTGCAAAACTTGATTTTGATTTATATTTGGTTTTGATATCTGATCTCAAAAATCATGTAAATTAAAAAAAAATGTACTTCAAGTTATTGAAATTGAACCAATTTAAAGAAACCCATGGTTAAAATTGCACTACTTGAAATTGCCTAAACATTTAAAAAAAAAAAGCTAAATTTAAACAATCAGATGGAAGGTTTTCAAAGTAAACGACTGATAAACTGTGAATTCAGTGGCATTTAAATGTCTACTAAGCTGTAAGTATTTCATGGTGACTTCATTTACATTTGCATGCATTATTTTATTCCTCAAAACCTGCCATGTTTCTCTATTTATTTTAGATTTCGTGGACTAGAACCTCAGAAAGACCACAAACGAACAGTAAAGCATAATTATTCCTAAACATTGAACGTTAAACTCCACCTACCCTTTGCATTTTAAGAGAACACCTCTTGTTAAAGAAATGCTTGGTCAGCGTCTCCATTCAAATCAATTGTGCATTTGTGTGTATAAAGCAAAATGAGGGAAGCGAGACTGGACAATACCATTATAGTAAAGTTAATGTTTATTTCCACATTCTTTACCAGGTTTCATCACGATCTGTACATCTGTTACTCCAGTAACAGGATGGCATCCAGTCAGAATGCATTGATATCGCAGCAAGCATGAATGTTCCCATTAGCAGTTAGCTCATTCATTTGGCCTTTGTTCAGACATTTGTTTTGTAAACATGGACATTGAGAGGAAATCCTGATAGAATTAATATAGAAAGGCCAACATTTTCTTTTTTTTGACAACATTTTTCTTTTGAATAAACTGTAAAAAACAGGCAGGCATAAACTAACAGTACACAAGCTCATATCGAACCATTCTAGGACAAGTGCAGTTTCACGACATGCAGTGCTTACCTAATCCATTCTGAGAGAGCTGCTCATAAAACACCAGCACCACTTCAGAGTACTTCCTCTGCAATAATATGTCAGACCACAGGCGCCACAGTTTTCTGTCGCCCACGTCCACTGCAGGACAAAGGGGATCACAGCAATTTGAAAGAGCAACCTCTGAGAATACTCAGTATTCATAGTGTGAGAAAAGAGAGAAATAATGACACCTGAAGCCTCAGTCTGCCCTCGGTATGTCATGAATCGGATGGCAGTGAGACCCTGTTGCTTTCATGTGCTGAAGTAGGAAGATAAAACACATATCCAGAGACAAAGTGTCTCTAGAAAAGTCACAAACCTGCCAAAAACTGTTGCTATCACATCGTAAGATAGATCTATAAATGATTCTTATGGACCAGGGTGTCATCTCGAGGTTCAGAGCCCTCTCACTGAGTTCAATTGCCTGAGAAGCTAAACTCTTTACATTGAAGTCGCATTCTGCATAGTTTCAGTGAAAAGTGAATTAATCTCCCTTGGAATAAATAACACATCTGTTGCATAGAGGTTTGATGCACTCCTAGGAAAGCCTCTGAGGATTAAACCAAAGAATATCCCGTATTTTATTTGACCTCTTTGTTAAATGTGCTGTGACAAAACAGCCAGGTAGATGGACTCTTGTCTAGGAGTGACTCAAACAGAACCGTGTCTCTGATATTCTTTGGAGAATATTTCAGAAACTGCTTATTGTAAATGTTTACATCTGAAGTTCAGAAAACTGGAGGTAACCTTACAGGCAGGAAATTAAACAAGTAATATCCAGACATGGCCTCGAATTAAAACTGTAATGTAATGTAAAAAATGTTATACCACTGACAGTAACAAAATAACCCAAAACATTTTCACAATAAAAATATATTCACATCATATTGCATAAATATGTGCTGGAATGAGGTTAATGAATTAATAAAAATCTCTCTCCCAGTATGGGCTGTATGTATCATGAGATTAGCCCCAGTGCTCAGTAATGGTCGGGATCAAAATATAAAACAGGTACACAAGTTTAAAATCTGTTCCTTATATGAATCAATAAATAGCTTCCATCAATTTTGCTGATGGAGGATATAAAATAACCCCAATTTAAGTGGTACAGCTCACGTTTACTGGAGGTAAAACATC